ATTGTAATAGTCCCTCCCATATTGCCCTAGGTGTTTTCGCTTCAATGGGGTAGGCCATTGCGATTTTGCTGAACGTATCTATCGCCGTTAACCACGATTGCCCTTCATTTGAATATATATCAATTTGTACTGATCGCAGAGGTTCAGTCGCGGTGGGTGTGGCTACCTGCTGTGCTACCGGGGGTTGGCGATCATACTTTGCTTGCTGGCATACTTCGCACTGCGTAATGCACTCACGTACGGTTCGGCCCATATTCTTCCAGTAGTATAATAATTTTAACGCACGCAGTGTCTCTTCTATTCCCCTATGGTTCGTTTTCCCCGTGTGATGTTCAGTAACAAGTTTTAATTGCGCCGTTGGATCGGCGATCGTCTCCACTTGCCTTAAACATCGAATTAAGGGATACCCCATTCCTACCCTTTCCTGCCTCCACAACCTCTTTAATTTGTCCAGGATTATCCGATTTCCTAAATACACGTAACAGTTGCGGCCGGGTTTGCTGAATTCCGCGAAGATTCGTTCCAGTTCGGCTTCGTTTATTGATGCAGGCGTACGGACTATTATAGTTGCCAAACCCTCATACACGCTCCTCCGCGTTTCCGTCCCAGAATCCAGCTTTGACTTAATTATTATCTGAAGTTTCTTATCATTGACAATCTCATCTATTTCAGGTAGTTCCTGGGGTCTATCCGTCGAGATGACGTTTTCCTCCGATTCACTGTCAACTGGTGAGCCTTCGGGCTCACTTTGCGTCCATTCTCGCGATCTTAGTGCTATCAAATTCTCAATATCAATTATACGGTTCCACGGGAGTATTTTCTTCCTCGATTGCATTCACTATTAAATCTCGTGATAACCAATCGGCCACGACATTTTCGACTCCTTTTTTGTGCACCGTATTGAAGTTATATGCCGCGAGACGTTCTTTCCATCGCGATACCCGTGCTGATGATTCTTTAAGTGTACCTAGGTATATTAGAGGTTTGTGGTCAGTTAACAACTCGAACCGTCTCCCGTATACGAAAATGTTCTACCGCCCACACTACTGCTAGAAGCTCTCGTTCTATAGCGCTGTATCGTCTTTCAGCATCGTTTAGTTTCCTGCCCGCGTATGCTATGGGTTTTTCACCTTCTTCAAAATTCTGTGATAGGACCGCCCCGATAGCGACCTCACTTGCATCCGTGCTAATTTTGAATGTTCTATTAAAATCAGGAAATGCTAACAACGGTCTCGTGGTAAGAATTTCTCTGCATTTCTTGATACTTGCTAAATGTTCAGCGCTTAGTTGAAATCGTTTCCCTTTTTTCAAAATTTCGGTTAATGGGTGCTTTAATTCCGCTATACCAGGAATGAATTTTCTGTAGTAATTTATCATTCCCAAAAACCGCCTGACTCCTCGAACGTTTTTAGGTAATGGTGCTTCTCGGATGGCTTTTACGCGCTCCTGATCTGGTTGCACCCCTCTCCTTGAGACTATGTGGCCCAAAAAACGGATTTCGCGTAATCCAAATTCGGATTTTTCACGTGATAATTTAAGTCCAAATTCACGTAACCTGTTAAAGACTTGTCGCAGGTGGTTTACATGTTCCTCTTCAGATTTACTAAAGACAATTAAATCGTCCATGTAAACCTGGGAAAAGTCTTCGCCCAGTCCCCTCTGTAGCTCATCCATGAGGCGCTGGAAGGTTAGTGGGACCCCCTTTAACCCAAATGGCATCCGAACAAATTCAAAGTGGCCTCGCTCCCATGAAAATGCCGTCTTCTCTACATCATCCTCGGCCATTTTAACTTGGTGATACCCGCTCTTGAAGTCTAGCGTACTGAAAACGGTTGCACCCGAAAGGCGATCGAGTATGTCTTCGACCCGCGGGAGGGGGTACCGCTCGTCTTTTGTTGCCTCGTTTAACTTCCGGTAATCCACTACCACTCGATACTGTTTCGCCCTTTCGCCCTGCCCACCTTGCTTCTTCTCGACTACCCATAATGGACTATTAAATGGAGAGTTACTGGGTCTGATTATTCCCTGCTGAAGGAGTTCCCCTAACTGCTCCCCGATGACATTCCTCATAGCTTGAGGATATCGCCTATCCTTAACATATATTGGGGCTTCCGTTTTTAGATGAATACGATGTACAGTTTTCCCTGTGGTCGGTAAAAACTCATTTTCGCGGTAAAATAGTTCTTTGTTCTGTTCTACCAATTGTGCTATCGCTTCCTTTACGCACTCTATTGCCCCGATTTTGATAGTTTCGCTATTTCCCTCCGTTGTGGTTTGGTATTGTCGCTTTCCTATAATGTAACTCCAAGATTTTCGGCTAACTCTCATCTCTAGACCCGTTCGCTGGAGGATATCACATCCTACAATTAAATCGTATCCCGGCATTAATTCATCGATGACGTGAACCTTTATCCGCGAATTTATCCCTGCTAATTTATAGAGGTTCAATGAAGTTTCTCCTAAAGTTTGGCATTTACCACTAACCGTGGACACGAAGCAGTTACACAGCTTGCGCTCGCCCCAAATACTCAGTTTCTCAGCCCCTCTTTTACTTATTAATGAATTAGTGCTTCCCGTATCGATTAAAAATTTTATTCTCGAATCTCTTAACCTCGCCACGAGCAACCTAGTCCACCGTCCGCTTGTCCCACTATTATTGATTATTAAAGTACTCGATTGGTTGCCCCTCCCGTTGCCGTATCCTCAATCTGCACGGTTGCGCCCCGGCGTTATTTCTTTTACGGAAGGACCCTCCCTCCAAGGTCTCCCACTACTTACCTCGGGTTTCCTCGTAGCCGGGCTGCTGCGCTCAGAACAGACGCTCTCTTCTTCCGAAGATTCCCCGCTGGTGTAACGCTTGCCGCTCATGCTGTCTGGCCGCCTGCCGCTCCAATCCTGATTATTGACCTCCATTCGTTCGTGTTGCTGATTCCTCCTATTTGTTCGTGGGTTTCGTCTTGGGCATTCCCTTGCAAGATGGCCTCGCCTACCGCATTCGTAGCACCTTGTGAGGTTGCACTGGGCTGCTATGTGGCCGGTTCGGTTGCATTCGTAGCAGCGCCGTTCTGGTTTCCTCCTCCTTTCATCTGGGCCTCTACCTGAGCGCTTTTCGAAATTCCGGGTGTTGGTAGACTGCCTGAGAGGACTTTGGTGTCTTCTCCTCAGTGATTTTACCTTTGTCCACTCTGGTTCCGGATTCTCAAAACGGGCTTCGTTACGCTCTCTGGCATCAATAAGATCGTGGGCGCACTCTATGAAATCCCGGTCTCTTGGAAGCGAGCCTGGACGATCCACGTAGTGGTTGAGTTGCACTTTTATGACACTCCTTATGAACTCCAATTTTTGGGCTCCCTCTGATTGGCCACAGGCTTCTACCATTTTTTCAGTAAGTCTGTTATATGCAATAAGCAGTTTTTCAGCAAATTCACCCTCGGATTGCCCTTGACTTCTTCGTTCCTTAAGCAAATAATATACATCCTCTTCCGGGGTCCATCTTCCTCCGCCATATAATTTCTTTAGCCTTACTTTTAGCGTATCCCAGGAGTGTGTCAAATCGCCTTAAATGGCATTTAAAACCCGCCTCGATATATGACCGATTAGAGACGTCTCTAGAAGACTCATGTCGAAATCCAGTAGTGTACCCTCTTCTCTTCGGGACACTATCAGATTCTTTATCTGATCACCTCCCTTGATGAAATGGTCAAGATCGCCTATTACTCCGGTAAAAGGTTCTAGTTGACTAATTACTTCATGGATAAACGCTGAATTCTGCGTTCGTATCTTTAATAGTTCTAGCTGCATAGTGTCTGTCGCCTTGGTTAGCTCAGATTCTAACTTCGAGTGTTTTACCACAGCCTGAGCCAGTTCATATTCAAGTTTTGCTAGTTTTTCTTCTCCCATAATTATGTTAGATTTTGAGATCACTAACTACTTAAATGAACTTGACTATACCTCAGAAATCTTCGAGTTTCGGCACCAGTTATGATTCGACTAAAGAAATAACAACACAGCTTGTGGGAATGAAGTGGTTTTATTTCGAACTCTTACATAAGTTTTCTACGCTGTATTAATACAACACTTTTGTAACCTCACCTTTTGTTTATATACAATTCTCTATATTAACATGTGTTTTAACAACATGTGTTTTAAACAATTATTTAGCTTATCTAAAGAATAATCTTATATACATCCTATATACAGTTAACTTATATATATATATATATATATATATATATATATATATATATATATATATGTATATAACATAAATAAGATAATATAAATAAGATCCTTCAAAAAGATAACTTTCTTTATTATGCCTCTTGTCAAACGCAAGCACTATTTATTTATGTATGCTTATGATCTGATGGCTCTCATTTAGATAACTTGAATTTAAGATATGATGTCTATCTTGATTTTGATTAGTTATTGGGAATCTTCTTAAATAAACGTGTTTTATCCTTTACAACCTTTAATTTTATTATTCTTAGGGCCCAATGTTTGTTAGAATAATTATTTTATTGTATTTTTCTGTAGTCTCTTTATTTTACTTTGATGGTTACCACAAAAATGGATAGTTTCTGTACAGAAATTATAAGTACAACCACTCAGGACCAAAACATAAGTTTTTCTTTGCTGTTATTCACCTATATTTTTTATGAGTAAACTAGAAAATCTATTTTATTAGTATCCATTTTTCTTCCATTGCCTTGTTACCTCTTGTAATCTCATTGATATGCTCTTTATAAGATTTTATATATTTTCTTGGTTGTTTGCTTTTTCTCTTTTGTTAGTTCAGTCGTCCTTGGATATGCCTCCTTTCCTCATAAGCATATCACTGACTATTTGGTGGCCCATTCAAGATGTGAATTAGAATCAGAAAAAAGTTTTTACTCTGGGATGATTTTCCTTAAGAAAAACATTAATTTAGGGGGAAAAAATCACTACTCCAATATGTGTGCATGTGATTATTCATATATTAATTAATTATATCATTTCAGTCTGTTTGATATGGGTGCATCGTACTATGGGTATGCTTCTGATATCACTGTGACTTTTCCTATTAATGGAAAATTTACTGATAAACAAAGGATAATATATACAATTGTATTTCAAGCAAGAGATGTTGTCTTCAAGCATTTAGCTCCAGGTAATGATATTTTGGTTTAAATTAAAAGTTATTGTTATTTTTCTTATCAGAATTACTTATTACAAATAGTCAATTAATTCTTTAGTTGATGCACTGATAACTGTTATTTCATTTTTTAAGAATACTTATGAATTTTCAATAAACATAAAAGATGCAACAAGAAGTTAGAGGATTCGATCAAAAGTCACATACATAATATGTGAGAATTGATACCAATTATATTTATTGGTTGTCTACATTTCAACGTGCGTTGTAGGTCTTTATCAGGGCTGCTGTCCAGTAATGTCGGAGGAAGCAACACAACTGGATAATTTTATTTTTGACAAATTGAGGATTTTACAAAATATTTTGGATTGTATATGAGGAGAATTAGGTGGTTTAGTGAAGCCTCAAAGTTCAACTTCATTAGTCCAAATAGGCCTTATTATAGAAATAGAATAGAATAGAAAAATAATTTTATTCTGGGACGAAGTCCCTTCAGAATAACAAAAAAGTACAGAAATTAAAATTTTACATCTGGCCAGGTAAAAACAAACATAACAAATTAAGATAAAGATAGGTTATTAAAAAAAAGAAAAGAAAAAAATATTGGTTATACATACTATATACAAAATAAAATAAAAAAATCTATATAAAAAACTCTTGAAACCATACTAAGATACTTAAAACTATGTACAATGTTAAAATATAAATAAACCCTTTTAGAAAAAATAAAAAATACAGAAAAAATAAATGTATATTCTTCTTAACAGTAAAATCTGTTTCTGTTGAAAGAAAAAAAGAAAGTCGAATCTATAATAAGTATTTGGGTTATGAGCTATATGTGAATATGGTCTTATAGATAATATGTAATTTTACATAAAAGGTTAGCTGGTGCCTGACTGTTTTTGGGACAGGAATTGGAATAGGAGGGTTTTGAATGTAGATAAGGATGAAGAATGTCGAATTTTGATAGGAAGGGAATTCCAGAAACTAACAGAACGTGCAATAAAGGAGTTTTGGAACGAGGCAGATCTGTGAGAAGGAATGTAAAGGTCGGAAGGTCGAGATCTTGTGGAGAGGGAGTGGACTGAGGACTTGAATTGGAGAAGGTTGTAGGCATAGGAAGGACGATGATTGTTGATGATATGATAGAGGAATGTACCTAGGAAATATTGTCTTCGAATGGAGGGGAAGAGCCACTCTAACTCAGTGTAGTCGTGAGAGACATGGTAGTATCTCGGGGCATCAATTACAAATCTCACACAACTGTTCATTATTCTTTTCAGTCTGTCGCGGAGCTCCACCGAGAGTCCATCATACACCACACAGCAGTAGTCAAAGTGGGGGAAGATGAGAGAGGAAACGAAGAGTCTACGCGTATGTTGAGATAGGAGATGGCGGAAGCAATGGAATAGTTTGAGGGTAGAAACTGTCCATCGGGAGATGTGAGAAATATGGTGACTCCAGGAGAGGGTTTGATCAATAAATAGTCCTAAATTTTTTACAGAGGAGTAGAAGGAGATTGGCTGGTCACCAAGGTTTAGTATGGGAAAGTCGGTATAGGATCTAAGGAGGGGCTTGGAACCAATGACAATGGCCTGAGTTTTTGAAGCATTTAACCTTAATCCGTTTAAGTTTGCCCAGACACAGATTCGATCTAGGTCTGCTTGGATCTTAGTAAATGCTACCAATAGCTCAGGGGGAGAAAAGGATAGGTATATTTGAGAATCGTCTGCATAAAGGTGGTGGGAACAATGGAGAATTGAGTCATGGAGGTCATTAATATAGGAACTAAAAAGGAGAGGAGATATGCTAGATCCTTGGGCAACTCCAGAGGATAAAGGCAGGTAGGCAGATAGTGGTTGATTAGGAATGGAGACTGCTTGGGTGCGTTGTGATAGAAAAGATTGGAACCAAGAGATGGAGCTATTGGAGAAGGAGAGTGATTTTAGTTTGTTGAAAAGGATGGGATGGTTAATGGAATCGAAGGCTTTAGAGAAGTCAAGAAGTATAAGGACAGTTAGTTGTTTATTATCTATTGCAGTCTGAACATCATTGGTAATTTTGATTAAGGCGGATTGTGTGGAGTAGCCGGGACAGAAACCAGATTGGAGAGGATCAAGTTGGTTAGACTTTTCGAGGAAATTAGAAACTTGGGATTGCACCAATCTTTCTAGGGGTTTTGAGAGATTGGAAAGAATTGAGATTTGGCAAAAGTCTTCGGGAGAGGATGGATTAGGCTTTTTATTTAAAGGGAGTACTATGGCTTTTTTCCAAGAGGAAGGGAATATTGAGTTCTGTTGGGAGAAATTGTAAATGAAAAGGAGAACTGGGAGGATTTCGGGGAGACATAATTTTATCAATTTGACAGGAATGCCATCTGGTCCTATGGAATTGGTGTGGGATTTCATTACTGTGGTTAGTAAGTCAGTCGGGGAAATGTAGGAGAAATAAAAGTCATTATCATTAAATGGTGACTCAGGAGCAAAGTTGGAAGAGGAGGGAAGAGAAGAGGTAGAGGAGGCAGAAATAAAATGTGAATTTAAATCGTCAGGTGAAACGGAAAAGAACAGTGAGGAAGGGGATCTGGAAGGTTCACAGAGGGAAAGTTTTCGAAGGATTAGCCATTTAGATTTGGGATCTGGGGCAGATGACAGGACTTCATGGAAGTAGGAAGCTTTAGCTCGCCGAATTCTTGTTTGTGTCAAATCGCGGAGCACCCTAAACGCTTGATAGTCATATGTAAGCCTAGTACGTCTAAAGCGTCTGCGGGCAGCATCACGCCTCTTCTGCAGATCCTTGATTTCTTGACACATCCAAGGTGCAGGCCGGCGGCGAAAGGTTGAGGTTTTTATGGGAGCATGGGTGTTAAGGATATTGAGGAGATTGGAAGTCAGGATCTCAACCATGGAGTCGATGGAGGAGCAGGAATATATTTTGTTCAAGTCTAAGGTTTCAAGGTCAGGTAGTATTTTTTCACAGGTGAGAGTGTCTATCTGACGGAAAGTGAAGGTTCTCAGATGAATCAGAGGGGTTTGGATATTATATGTTATTTGGATCATGTCGTGAGATGATAAGAAGGATACTGGTAGTTGAGAAGAGGAGAGGAGATTTATTTCGGAGTCTATAATGAAGAAATCTAACCAAGTGTCGTCCTTGTGGGTGTGGTGAGTAGGATAAAAAGGAACAATAAAGAGATGGAGGGAAAAAAATAGGTTTTCTAGATAGGTTTTGTCTTTGGAATTAGAAAGGAAATTGGTATTGAGGTCACCGGCGATGATTATTCTAGGATAGAGGGGAACAAAGTTGAGTAGGGTTGATTCTAAGGACGGATCAAATGGAACAAGGGGAGGACGGTAGATCACTATGTAAAGGAGAGGGGAATTATTACAGGTAATTTCTGCTAGAAGGTACTCCACTTGTGGATGTTCGGAGGGTGGGGAGTAATCAAGGATTCGGGACTTCAGGCTATCATGGACAAATATGGCCACCCCACCACCAGTCCGGCTGACCCGGTCGTGGCGGATGAGGGTGTAATTAGGTAAGGAGACAGATGAGGACGGAATATAGGGTTTGAGCCAAGTTTCTGAGATTACGATGATGTGAAAAAAGTTTTGAGAAAAGTACTGCAGGAATTCATCATAATGGGCGGGAAGGGATTGCGAGTTAACGTGGCAGGTGGTTAGGATGCTAGACATGAGGAGGATTTGATGGGAAACAATGAGAAATTAGCATAGAGGAAATGAGGCATATATCATATTCTGAAAAAAATTATGAAAAGTACTGATAAGCAAAATAAAAGTGAATAATGAAAAAATAAGTGAGAAATAAGAGTAAGAAAATAAAAAAATTAGTAAACTGGAGCTATGAGAAATTTTAACCGAAATCTTCAAAGTTATTTGGGCACCAATGAAGACAAAAAATACTTTGATGAACGAGAAGAAGAGATGAAACCTGTGCAGTCAGGCGAAAACTTCTAGATCCGATGCCTGATTAATCAAGATTACTTGATGGCCGTCTTCTTTTCGGCAACGCACAATGCCAGCAGCGAACCATACGTATCTTATCTTCCCAGCAGCTCTCTTCTGCCGGGCTAGCCAGTAGAGGTGCCTGTTTGTTGGGTTCATCTCCTCGCCGAGATAAATTCGGTGGCAGTCGTTTTCCTGCCACCTGATATCACGCGTCGAGAAATCCCTCTTCACTTTCCTTTTCGCTATCAGGTCGTCCCTCACTGACTGCCTGACGAAATGTGCTATTATCGGCGGCGGTCACGGGTCATCCTTCTTGCTTCTGCGGCACTGCACGACATCCACATCCTCCACTCCGAGCTTGATGCCCAGCCCCGCGGCTATAGTGGTCACCAGAGCCGCGGGCGTCTCGCCTGCTCGCACTGGTATCCCACGGATCTCCAGCGATCTACATAATTGACCCTGTTCTGTTTTGTTCAGGCGGATCTCTAAATCGCCCACTCGAGCTTTGAGGGCTTTATTTTCCAAAATGTTTGGCTTGGCCCTCGAGATGTTTTTCTAATTTCGATAACCTCTCATTCAGTTCAAAGCTGAGGTCTCCATGTTTATCAAGGGCTGTCTTCATATCCCTTATTTCCTCACTAACATGACTATTCAGTCTATTAACTGCTGCTAATATTTCTGATACAGGCGGTTCATTGTTTAAATTTAGTTTCTTTGTTTGATCGCAATTTAGGCACATCCATGTTTTTTTTATGCTTCTCTGAGCTTCTATCTCTTTGTCTGTGAGATTAAAACACTTGCCGTGATAAATAACTTTGCACTTGGTACAACATAAATTGTATTTATCTTCACGGGCAATAGCGTTATTACAAATCGTGCACTGGACCATTTTTAATAATAAAAAATAACTTACAGTTAATGTCAAGTGAAGTTGATGTTGTGATCCACCAAGCAAACAACTGCTAATACTAATAGGATTATTAGCTTAACAATCACAGGGCTCGTAGCACTCTCACTATATTTTCTTTACGTTGAATAGCGTGAAAA